TCAAATTCGACCTTAAGATGGGAGTAGTTCACGATCACGAATTCGGCATACGTTGCATGTATCCCCGATATATACACAACCCTAGTTCCATCAAAACCCACAAAGTATTCTTTCTTTATTTTTGACCCTTTTTGGCTTTCCAATAACTATCCAACGCTAGATATACTAAGATTAGCATTACAAACTGTATTCATAGAGCGACGCCGTATCGAATTCTTATCGAGCGTCGAACGCGATTCCTTTATCCAGACACCCTGCTCCTCCTATTATACCGCTTCACATACGTAGAAAGCTTTATTTGAACGGGTCTTAATACACGCGGCATTACTTTTCCGCCCCCGGCCACAAACCCTTTGGTCTAAGGAATCGATATAAAGGGACACTAATCAAGTGGCAAATAGGCGTGTAGGTTCCCCAGCCCAAAGCAATCTCACACCCCCAGATTCTCCTCTTTTCTTCCTCCCCACATCTCCATCGCAAATCCCCCTCTTTTTCCTCTCTCTTTCTTTGCCTATCTACATCAATCTTTTATGGTGTTTGGAGAGGGTGGTGGTGGTGTCCCTTTGGCCATTCGAGAGGGCAACACAGCACTAGAAAATGCACGTCGAAAGCGACGAGCGCCACCTAAGGCAGGCCGACCGATCGAGACCAAATCCCTTCTAATTTTAGGCTTTTTCCCACCCTCGCTCTTGTGCACGACACGCCCTTATCTTCCTTCCCCTTCTCTCTCTCTCTCTCTCTCTCTAATCCTAAACCGTGATCTTGTGCGGACAGAGACTCTCCCGCGTGCCCGGCTCTTCCCTCTCGTTCAATCTGGCTCGGCCTAGGGTTGCTTGTTTTCCAAGTTGGACACGGCGACTCGGGGACATTCCGTGTTGATTGTTGGATTGTGGGTTCAAACTCCCCTTCGATAGGGAGGCACGGGGGCCCCGCTCCCCAATGCGCGGGTGGAGATATGGGGGTCGCGAAGGCGGTGCTGCCGAATTGCCATAAGGCTTTTATAGTTTTGGCATATATTTTATCGGTAGTTTGTGCTTTGATCCATGAATATGTAACATATTTCTCTTGTAATTAAGAGTTGTAATTAGAGAGGTAAGATGCAATAATTTTAGCGAAATCATATGCGGGATGTAGCCCTAATTTATTGGCAAACCAAGATAAATCTCGAGCCTCAATTTCTCTTTCTCACCTTTATTCCCTGCTTCGTTGTAGTTGTGCACCCAATCCTAACCTCGATTGGGTGCAAAGAGCCTAGCTCGTCAAGAATGGCTCGGACCCAACTCGATAAATCACTCGAGATAGATCCGTCCGACTTCGAATCGATATAGAATTCCGGTTACTCGAACATCTTGACCGGCCGAACCCGAATTTGTCGATACTAAGCCCGATCGGGTTCACTTTTTTTCTTTTTTCCGAAAAAACACGATACTTAAAAAAACGGGCACCAAATCCTTAAAAACTACATGATATTCGAACTTACGAAGCTCGAGCTCCATGTGTGTGAGTTAATTGCGATCGAATCCCAAAGCCCGAGTGGGGAAAATCGACGCCCGATCGAGCCTCTGTCATTTTAGGTAGGGACCAAACGACAAAAGCAAAAGAAAAAAAGGCGAAGATTATGAACTGCAGGTCATATATATTTTGGAGAAAGTATACATAACCGTATGGGGACAATTAAGACACAACGGACGATGTCGTACGAGTTAACTCCTAACATTGAAAACCTAGGAGGAAACCACCACCACCCCCACCATCCTTCAAATAGCTTTTCAGCAGATTACCATTATTTCACCAAAAAGCTGAGTTCTTCTGACTCGGTCGAGTCAACTGTTTTCTCTTTTCCTTTTCTTTTTGTGGTGGTGGTGGCGGTGGTGGCGGTGGCGATGGTGGCGGCGGCGGTGGCGGTGGCGGTGGCGGTGGTTGTGATGGGAAGCCATTGCAGTTCAACGTTACTTTCGATTTTTGCTGGGAAAGGCAATATCTGAGGACAAATCGCCCTGGTATTATTTTTTGGGGGGAAAAAGAAGCTGAAAAGGTTGCAAAAAGTGAACAAAAGAAGGTAGCCAACAAAAGAACACATCAAATCACCACCTTTTTTAACGCCTCCGCGTGTCCCATAGCTTCTCCTCTAAAGAGAGAGAAAGGGAGGATGCTCGAAAAGAGATCCTTTGATTGGTGGGGGGGGGACCAGCCTCGGGCTCCGCGACGACCGGAAAATTATATCACGGGACATGCTGAGGCGCAACCTCGGCACGGGTCCGGAGGGCTTTGATCGGGGTTGCGAGGGGCGGAAACCGGTCGGTCCGGCGACGCCGGATCGACACGCCACGTTGCGGATGCGGGCTGCGGAAATTTCTTCTTTTTTTTTCTCTCTTTTTTTTCGGGGCCTCGGCGACTCCCCCTCCCCGGCGGCTGTCGCGATCCGGGGTTTGCGATGTGGTGCGGTGCGGTGCGGTGTGGTGTGATGGAGATGATGATGATGATGATGATGAGGGATATGTGTGTGGTGGTGGGTGTAGGGTGACTCTCCCCTCACGTCGCTCTCAACCTTTACAAAAGATTGAAATGGTTCCCACGGGTGTGAGAACTCGTTCGCTGACTCAGCCCCAACTTGGTCTTTGCCGGCCCCCGGCGGTACCGTTCTGGACAGCAACTCGCCCCGGTTGCGCCCGATGACGCGAGATCCGCACGATCTGACGGCGGGCGTTATCCGCGCTCGCGACGAATCGGATGCACACGACACCACTTGCCCTCGCGAGCTGAGGGGGGTTGTCTTTTGGGCTCGAAACGAGGTAAAGATTCCCGGGAGAGAACACTTCCGTCTTCCTTTCGGACTTACCTTTTTCGAGGTATTTCCCTCTCCTCTTTTGGCCCCCCCCCCCCCCGGAAAAAGAGAAAAGTCTTCGGCTTAACAAAGGCGCAAAAGCTAAGCTTTAGGTTCCTGCATTACTCGACCGTAAAATATTCACCCCGTCGCAATCAAATCGAAGGGGAAGATCCGAAAACCCTTTTTTCCCGATTCAACCGGTCCTCCTCTCGGCGGCGCCGCGGGAAATCCCGGCCGGCTCCCGCCTTTCGCCCTCGATCCGCCGGAGAAATTAACACGCGATCGAGCGGATATAATGCACGGTAAATTTTTTTTGGGAAATGGAGCCCGAAATGGTCTTGGTGAAGAAGAGGAATCATGAAAGCATAGGAAGGGGGGCATGTGTGCACGATTTTTGGGGTGGGACTATGGTACTGGGGGATGGAAATTCCACGTCAGCGGAGAGCGACACTTATTGGAGGGGGGCAGGTGGGCCCACTCAAAAGTTTTTAAGTGGACGCAGCATCTCTCGTCCCTCATTCTCTCGAAAAAGCATGGTGATGATGATGTGCACAGAAAGATCTTTGAGATATAGTAGAATCTATACTCTCTACTCACCACCCGTTCTTTCTCCCCCCCCCCCCCCAAAAAAAAATCTGTTTTAATTAAATTATTATATAAAAAGTGAAAGCATGGTTTTATGATGATAATATTTACTGCCTGGGAGTAAAAAAAAAGATGGAAGTTTTCGTCGATTGAATTTAACGAGATTCCGTCGGGGATGTAATAAAGCGATTCCGAACGGTCGATCGATTCGAGCGGTCTCGTGAACAAGAAAGTCGTAATACCGATAGGAAGATAGATCGGAGATTCTCGGACTGACAAATCGGTTCTAGATTGATTTACGCCGTCGATATCTCGTCGGCTTGCTTTTTTATCATTTAGGGATAGTAACACGGGTGGTCTCCGAACTCTGATCCAGCGCGCGATATGATTCGTGGGCTTTTAATTTGTTCAGTGTGATCCATGAACTTTGGCCCGATATCAATGTGGTCCTTGGACTTTTGGTGCATGTTCAATTTAGTCCTCGAACTATATGGAAATGTTCAACGTTATTTTTCAACGTTGTCCTTCCATTAAGTCAAGTTCGGGTTGAATATTTTCATGCAGTGCAGGAACTAAGTTGAACATGTACCAAAAGTCCATGGACCTCATTAAACAAATTGAAAGCTTAGGGACTACATTGAACAAATTAAAAGCTTACGGCTAACAAATTGGACCAAAATTCATGGACTATTTGTATCATTCTCCCCATCATTTTATGATGTCGGGTCACTAAACGGACGAATAACATTAGGGATGACAAGAACCTCTTTTATAGACACTTGCTTATAAAAAGCGACGTAACCTAACTCCTTGGCTATTTAAATAAGCCGATAACTCCACGAACGAATCGTGCTCCCAATATAATAAACTTCCGATAAAGAAAGCGACGTCCGAAGAATTTCATCGGATACTCAAATAAGTAGAATTTCCCTGCACATCACATGCGAATGCATACTTTTTCCCCCTTCCTCTCCTCGAAAAGGGACCGATCGATTTATCATGCGGCATACATCTCGATCAATTCCTACCATCGAATGAATTTCCAAAACCCCCCCCCGGGTAACTTTTTTTTTTTTTTTCAATTCTTACGATTGGTCGGTCACAGCACGTATCATTTCCTTCTCCACGGTGCCTGAACATCCGACGTGGGGGCGGGGGGCCGGGAGCCGGGCCCCGCCCCCACACCATCGCCCTCCACTCAACCATCACCAAAAAGCCATCTCCTTCCTCCTCCCCTCCTCTCCCCCTCCCCCCCTTCCTAAATAAATAATTAATACCCGCCCCCGAGCAAACACACATTTATGCCCAAATTTCCCCTTTCCCTTTTCCTTCCTATTCTTTCTTTTTTTTCTTTTTTTATAAAAACGCGAACCCAAAACTCTCTCCTCCGCCGGCCCAAAAAAAAAAAGGAAGAAGAAGAAAAAGCCAAAGAATTTTTTTTTGGATTTTTCGGGCTCGATTATTATATACCTACAATTCCCCATATCATCCCTTTCCCACGTTTTTTTCTTTTTTTTTGTATATAGTTTCCCCGATCATAAATTTCTTTTTTGTATAAATTTCCCCCTTTTTTTTCCTGATATTTTTTTTTTTTCCCCCGCCCCCCCCCTCGGTCGCCGGCGATGCCTACGCCGGTCGGCGCGGCCAGGCAATGCTTGACCCCCGAGGCGGCCCACGCGCTGGACGAGGCCGTGGGCGTCGCGCGCCGCCGCGGCCACGCGCAGACGACGTCGCTCCACGCCGTGTCGGCCCTCCTCGCCCTCCCGTCGTCGGCGCTGCGGGAGGCCTGCGCCCGCGCCCGCAACTCCGCCTACTCCCCGCGCCTCCAGTTCAAGGCCCTGGAGCTCTGCCTCAGCGTGTCGCTCGACCGGGTGCCGTCCGGCCAGCCCAGCGACGACCCGCCCGTGTCGAACTCGCTCATGGCCGCCATTAAGCGGTCCCAGGCCAACCAGCGCCGCCAGCCCGAGAACTTCCACCTCTACCACCAGCTCTCGAACCAGTCCTCCATGAACGCCGTCAAGGTCGAGCTCCAGCACCTGATGCTCTCGATCCTCGACGACCCGGTCGTGAGCCGGGTCTTCGGGGAGGCGGGTTTCCGGAGCTCCGAGATAAAGCTGGCCATCGTCCGCCCCTTGCCTCACCTCTTCAGGTACCCTCGATCCAGGGCCCCGCCGCCTCTGTTCCTGTGTAACCTGAGCGAGAGTTCGGGCCCCGGCTCCGCTTCGGGCCGACCCGGGTTCAACTTCCCGTTCTCGGTGTTCCCCGGGTTCTCGGACGGGGACGAGAATGTCCGGAGGATTGGGGAGGTCATGGTGAGTAGCAAGGGAAGGAATCCCCTGCTCGTGGGCGTGTGCGCTTACGACGCGCTCAGGAGCTTCGTGGAGAGTCTCGATAAGAGGAAAGATGGGTCGTCTCTGCCTAAGGAGATTTCTGGGCTGAGCATGGTTGACATCGAGAATGATGTTCCCAAGTTCGTGGGAGAATGTTTCGATAAAGGGTGTGTGGATGTGAGGTTCGAGGAGGTGGGTGGTGTGATAAGGCAGCGTCTGGGGAGCGGTGTGGTGGTGAGTTTTGGTGATTTAAGGACATTGACTGGGGATGGGGCGTGCGGCGAAGCCGTGAGCTACGTCGTGGAAAGGTTGACGAGGTTGTTGGAGGTGAACAAGGGGAAGGTCTGGTTGATCGGGGCGGCAGCAACCTACGACACATACTTGAAGTTCTTGAGTAAGTTCCCAGCTGCTGAGAAGGAATGGGATTTGCAGATTCTGCCGATCACGACGCTGCGGCCGTCGGTGCCTGAATCTTGCCCAAGGTCAAGGTAAGTGGCGGTGGATTGTCTTGCTTGTGCTATCTAGTGATTGATATATCTGCGGAAACAGGGATGCTTAAAAATCGAGATTTACATGTTAGCATTGGTTTTTTTTTTTTTTTTGGTAAGGTTGTTAGCATTGGTTTTTGATCTTGTCTTGATTGAAGAATCCTGTTTCTATGGCTGAGGCCTCTACTTGATCTTTTTTTCATATGAAAAGGCAGGGTCCTGAGCATGTGCATGTGTGTAGTATCTGTGTGTGTCTCTTTGTGCTTTTACGATCACGGTCACATAATTTTTGTGATAACGTGTTCTGAGATGGACTGGTGGGAAGTTCGGTAAATTATTTAAATGCTGAGGAAGGAAGAGGCTTTCATAAGTTGAGTTTGATATGCTTTATTTAAATGAACATAGATACTTTTGTCCATGGTGCTTAGATGACTTGTTGATCTATCCTTGTCGTCTTATGGATATCAATTGCATGCATAGTCTTTTAGGCTTATGGTTCAAAGATTCAAGTGTACCTTAAAATATGCAGCTAAGGCGTTGCTTGGATCTAGAATTCTGCCGAGTTGCTGGTCAGAGTACTTTTTAGTTTTTCTGGGAAAGAGTCCAGGAACTAAATCCAGCAAACTCACGCATTATTTTGATTACGCGACTGCTGTTTGCAAAAATTTCTGAACTTTTCATCATCTTGTCCATCACCTTCAGTTGAAGTGATACTGTTAATTTGGAACTTTGGACAAAGGTATAAGAAACTCTCTAGGCAAGGTGGTTTTGGTTTTTTTAGGCTATTGTTTTACTCCTTGCTGCAGAGACACATGCTTAAACAACACAACGATTTTCTTTTAGGGGGTTGAATTTGCCTGATTACTGTCAGGAAAAATGGGTGCTTCTGCTAGATGATCTGATTTGCAAGATATAAGCCCAGACTAATATTTTGTCGAATTGTAATATGAAGTGACTTGTAGACAAATATCATCTGCTATGACTTCCTCTGTTGGAAATGGCCAAGGTAAAAGACAAAGCAAAACCTTGCCACCCAGAGCAGAACTATTGGGCTTCTTGGGATGTTATGTCTTATTTCATCGTTTTTCTAGTGGAAAAGGTCTGAGACCTTTCCTTTCGGGTCACGTCTTGTGTAAGCAGAGTATGAAGATCTTATGGATTTAACTTAGTGCTTCATAAGAATTTAATCCATAGTCTATTAAAACTATGTTATAGAGACAAATTTGTTCAAAACTGCTGAGAATTGACCAGTCAACCTCCGAATGATTTGGTTTTAAAGAAAGTTAATCAAAAGGCCGGAAGAAGTAATTATTTCTGCTAAGTTATCCAAAACATGTAAAAGTATCAGCACGCTGAAGTAAGAGATTCAAAGACACTACAGAGGAATGGGACTTTTAACTTCGATACCATGCGAGCCATTATTGTACCTCTGACTAGAGAAACTAAAATTGTGATACAGTTTCCTTACTTTTACAGTCACTTGGTAAGTTCCTCCATTGCCCTTAATCAAATAGATGTTTAGCCCTTGTTGTGAAAAATATGCATTTTCTTGATTATATGACTTTGAAGTAGTTACGCTAATCTTGACTAGTTTCTAACTTGGATTTGACTCAGCTTGATGGAATCATTTGTTCCTTTTGGGGGATTCTTCTCGACATCCTCAGACATCAATAGTCCTGTGATGAGCATGTCATACCAGTATGGAACGCCCTGTCATCTATACGACGACAAGTGTGAACAAGACAATGTAGCTGCTAGAAAAGCAGGATGTGCTGCTTCGGTGGCAGATCGGTATCAGAATAGTCTGCCTTCATGGTTGCAGATGACTGAGCTTGGCATAAAGGGAACTGACGTGAAGGTGTGTATAGCTTCCTCTCTCTGTGTCCCTTTTGCATGACATCTTCGCTGGAATATCTTGGGTCTGTATCGAACTTTTAAAACATTATTTTTTCCTGCCTATGGCCTATGACAAGTTGTTCCAGTTTAAGCAATTTTTTTCGCCTAGAGAACTGAAGGTGCACTTGAAGTTTTTGAAGCTTCTGTCTCGATTGTAGATCTTCAGGATGGCCAATCCAGTGAAACCGTTCTTTTTATCTGTTTTGATGGCCATATTGTATCTTTATTTTTTCTGCAGGGGAAGGATGATGGCCCCGTGCGGAGCTCAGTGGATGCTGAATTGCAAAACGAATCAGATGAAAGTTCCCGGCATTCTCCTAAAAATCAACCGCTTCAAAATGTCTATCGGGTGGGTTCTGAAGTTCAAAGTGTCGTGGGTTTCCAGTCTGCTGAGGAGAGAAGGGAGACCACTGATAATCAAAGCCTCAAATTGAAAACAGATTCATGTCCACGAGAGACCGGATGCAAGAGTGTCAGTTCATGCATGTCCACGGAATCCCGTAAGATGATGACTTCACATTACGGCATCCACCTTCCTCCAGTTCCCAAGACTAATAAGGAGAGTTTCCTGTCCAAGTTGTGGGAGAACCCTTCAATAGTGGAAGGTAAGGGGGACTCGGGTGTTGCTGCGTCCCCCAAATTCAGTGGGTCCAACTCAGTCGTCGATGATGAAATCCGAACATCTCCTGCTTCTGTGACTTCTGTGGCGATGAGTTTAGGCTTGGGAATTTGCTCTCCCCCGGATGATAAGGAATCGAAGCAGCATGCACACCCCAGTCACTGTACAATACCGACTAGCGGTGATCTATTCAGAGGAAGCACTTGCAAAACTTTAGCGGAATCTTCGTCCAGCTCTTATCCTGACACCTGCTATCCACTTCATCAGAGAGATTTCAAGGCGCTTTCTGGAGCTCTCATGCAGAAGATTGGAAGGCAAGTCGAGGCGATAAATGTCATCAGCGAAAAAATTCCTCTATGCCAATCAAGAAACAATGATCGGTCGAGAGCCAGTTCTAGAGGGGACATGTGGTTCACTTTTCTTGGTCTTGATAAAATTGCTAAGAGGAGAACTGCCGTTGCTCTCTCTGAGGTACTATATGGAAGCAAGGAACATCTCATCTTTGTGGACCTAAATGCTCAACACGAAAATGGCTACGTGGACAGAATCTTAAATCAAGAAATGAATCAGTATGATGTGAAATACCGTGGAAAAACTGTTGTTGATATCATTGCTGGGGAGATGAGGAGGAAACCCTGGTCTGTTGTCTTGCTTGAAAATGTGGACAAGGCTGATGAACAGGTTCAGAGTAGCTTGTCCCAGGCCCGTTGGACGGGTAAATTTTCAGACTCACACGGAAGAGAAATCAGTATAAAAAATGCAGTGTTTTTGGCAACTTCAACTTTCACTAAGGTCAACGGAGTTCTACATTCTGGGGAAGAATCTGCTAAATCTGTGGAAGAGAGAGTACTGGGAGCTAAGGGCTGTCGAATGAAGATATTGGTTGAGGATGCTCTTGGAGACGACGCGATTGATAATCACCTTCTTGTGTCAAATACATCAGGAATAAGCAGCACCAACCATCTACAAGTGAACAAAAGAAAGCTCGCTGGTTCAAATGGAAATGTAGTATTGCGCGAGAATTTACAGGTGGTCAAGCGAGCTAACAAGACATCAAGTAGACATCTCGATTTGAATCTCCCAGCAGAAGGCAATGAAGTGGTAGACGCCGATGATAAAAGCACCGACGTTGATGTGATGAATGATAACTCCAAAGCGTGGTTGCTAGATTTCATGGACCAGATGGACGGGACGGTGGTCTTTAAACCGTACGACTTCGATTCTCTTGCTCAGAAAGTACTCAAAGAGATCAAAGAGAGCTTCTGCAAGGCTGTGAGCTCCGAATGCCGGATGGAAATCGACTCGAAAGTCATGGATCAATTAATGTCGGCCACTTACTTATCAGAGAGCGAAAGAACGGCGGTGGATTGGGTGAAGCAAACCCTGAGCAGGGATTTTGCAGAAGTCCAGAGGCGGCACAAGCTCACCTCTCGTTCCATCGTGAAACTTGTAGTCTGCGACGACTTTTTGTCGGAAGAGCAAGAGACCCAAACCGGGCTTCCCTCGAAACTCATCATCGACTGAGGCGATAGATTAGCGCATTCTCTTTTGAATTAGACTGATGTCAGTAGCGTATAACGTACATAGTGCAATAGGGGGGGGGAAGCTTTGTTTGGCCTGTTCAATCCCATAGTTTTAGGAGGAGGAGGGGTCCTTTTTCAGGTTATGGTTTTTGTGTATTTGTGATGTATAATCTGCCGTCAAAGGGGCTTGTGTATGGTTCTGCTTACTCAAATCAGTTGGTCTTAGTCTGTATCATTTAACTGTATCACTTTTCCATAACTGATGCTTCCATTGATCAACTAAAATTATACCCACGATGATTGCAAAATCTGCTGCAAAACTTATATGAAAACCGTGAAATGTGATCAACGGATGAACTCGAAGTTTGCGGGGTCCCTTTTGCAAATCTGAACCTTCTCCAGCGAGCGGGAAGAAAATGCTCCTCTATCGTCTCGCTAAGTTTGATTCCGGGAGGTGAGAGAGATACGCGGGCTGTTCGACGATGTGAATTTCGATCATTTCCGCCTACAAAACGTGTGCGATTTCGACCTCGAAATCGGTTATTGTGATCAATTGATAGTGGGGATGTGAATTAATATGCGTAATTTGCGAACTCTAGCAAAAATACCGAAATGAACTGGAGAAATTCGGCTTAGACGAAGCCCCACCTAACTCGAACCTTTCACGTTCATTTCGGCCCGAGTGTGATGGGCTACCTAAATTAGTCCTTTGAGCGACCCGAGTTGGACCGGCTCGGTCCGATTAAATCGGGTTTTGCCCAACTCGTGATTGGATCTGTGGATTCAAATCTCCAGTTGTCCACGTTTCCCACCAACCATTTTCTGGCCATCCATTCAACGTTAGGCAATAAGACGGGTGAGAGACATAGTTGTTACAAAACGAATGCCTCGATTCGCCTAGAACGGAAAATATTTTATCTCGGCGTCGCCTTCGTATCGGTAACTTATTGTAAACTCGGTGCGAATCTCCGTAGAAAATGGACCGGTAGACGGATCTGTAATCAATTGTTCTTAGAGGGTGTGTTTGTCTCATTGAAAATAAATAATTTTCAGGGAAAACGGTTAGCTTTCTACTTATTCGGTAGTTTAGGGACGTGATTTCTTTTTCGCTGGAAATAGAAAGTTGCTTTCCTCCAATGTAAACGTGTTGCTTTCAGTCTATGGAAATCGTTTTTCATATGTCGATTAGTTTTCCGCCATCTAATGATCGAAAAGTCGGAAACGATTTTCTCGGGAAACGGTTTTCATTTGAGCAAATGGATCCTAAATTTCGCTTCGTTTCTATCGCGTTTGATCCGCGGGAAATCTTCGTCCTCGCCACTCCAGGGAGCCTCTACCAATGTGCTCTTCGAAATCAAATCTTGTTGCAAGTTGACGCAGGGTAAGTTATAACTGGAAAAAAGCTTTCCAAAGTAATTCTAAAATTCAATTGATAGTCATGTCGATCTCTTTCATCGTAGTATCATTTTATAGGCGAATAAGGAACAACCATCCAAGTTTGGAAAATAGAGATCTTAATAAATTCCTAGAAGACAAATCACAATTAATAAAGATTCTGGAAATCTAAAATCATTCAACTACTCTCGAAAATATAAGAGATCATTAATGGCTTTCGACGTCTTCGAAGAATGCTTCGGCATCAGTCACGGCCAAATCGCGTCGGTTTCTAGCGATCACGTTTGTCAAGATAATTACATGTCAATTGTTCTACATCATAAGTTCTAAGGGGAGTAAGTGTGGGTTTTGATGATGCAATTTAAGGGTGAGCAAAACGAAACGACTAAATCGGTCGGTTGGGTCCGGTTCCCAGTAGTGCCGATCCAAATCCCGGTTCTAATAGAGAACTGGATCGACAGGACAAAATCAACTATATATATTTTTTTAATTTTTTGTAATTTCTTCAAGAAATTAAGTAAAGTGAAACCCTAATTAAACTTCAGTCCTCCTCCTCCGAAACTTTCCAAAAGTTACATCGTCTTCACTAGTTACACAGAAAAATTTAACTCCGAATGACTAGTGGCCATAACTCATTAAGCAATCAACACCTTTTTCGCTTAGCGTTTCCTCTTTCCACCGTTACAAGGAAGCCGCGGTATCCTCTTAGGTCTTTGCAGGGCTTTCGACCGAGAAGAGGTTTCCTCCATGCATCTTTCCACACAGCATTGGTTCCGTCCCTTACCTTACCTTTATCGCCCGTCAAGCGTCGAGGTTCGTATTAGATCCTCATCATTTGTATTTTTCTTTTTTTTTTGGAAAAAGATTCTGCCATTCGTGGACGGTCACTTGGGATATATAACCATATTTTCATTTCCAAAGAGCAAGAGGCAAAAACAGCGTTCCCTTGTCCAGGGAACTATTCTCCACCAGAACAGATTACTACGAAATGACAGAACTTCCGGACTGATTACAAATAAGGGAAGAGGTGCATACTCGGCAGCTATAAGCAATAATAAAATTTGATGTGAACACAAATTACAACATCTATCGTGAGTTCCGTGCAATAAGTAACCGAACTAGGAATCGATCACCCCCCTAATGCCATCGCACGGTGGAGCAGCGGGCTGGAAAGATTTTTTTGATGACCAAAAAAGTCGAGGAGAGAATTCCAAAGGGAAGAGGATGAGGTGGTGGGGTGGGGGAAGGTTCAATTCGAACTTACTTTCCACAGTGGAAGGATGACGCAAGGCGCATTCTGTCTCCCACCTATACACATATTTACATATATATATATTTTCTTTTTGTAAAGAAAAAAGAAAATGGAAAAAAAAGGGGAGTAAATTTGAAATGATACGTATATAATATATATATATATATATATAAATTGAAAAAGGAAATGGGGGGGAAAGAAACGCGCATGGAGCATGACAGCTTTACACTCTCTTTCCGTCACCCTCCCAACCCAAACTCCCACTGGCTTTCTCTGTCTCTCTGTCTCTATCTCCCTCCCCTTCTCCCTCTTCCCCCCCCACTCGCGCCCATCGCGCGTGCACTTTCCCCCACCTCCTCATTTTCCTTCCTTTTTTTAATACGAGTTCTCTTTACCTTATTATTATTACTCTTTCTATTGTCCAGGATAAATAGTGTGATGTATAGGAGAGCACCGCTTGATTGTTGATCATGGCAAATTTGGAGATTATTTCCACCCTCCCATCTGGTTTCGAAATCGAGAATTCCGCCGTTTTTACCTCGGGGCCCGAATTTGTACGGCGACGAGATCTGAGAGATTTTCGTGGGACTGCCGTCGACAGTTTAAGCTTTTTCAGAACAGTCGGTAATGGTCTGATAAAATCCCGACGGTTCCAAAAGCTTAGAAACTGTTGAATGAAGACATGGTTTTGACATTTAAATAATTCTAACAAGATCTTCTTACCTATATAAGAGGTGTTGATTGAAAAGAGCTGGCTTCTATATTTATATATCGATATTATTGCTTCTTATATCATCTATTGACTTTTTACGTAAACCATATATGTACAAAATCAATTTGTAACACATCAACTTTCATTGTGAAAGCCATGACCGATCGACAGGAACCGTCTTTTGCATTTACATTGAAATTTGCTCGTGAGTCGTTTTTCCCTATAGAAAAACTTAAGCATGACCCATACCGTGCCCGTGACTGAACTCGCTTTGTCTTCATCGACTTAAATTCCGTGCGCGCCTTGCCACCCTTGACACTCTGGAGTTTCCGATCACGTGTTCGAAAAAAGGAGCCAAAACATTTGTTACGGCACAATTCGCCTCCATCGCAAATTTTAACGGCTGCCGGACGTCATTACGTACGGCGCTGAAAAGCAAAGCAATGTTCGATTTTCTTTCCGCGAGGATTTTCGAATCGGAGTTTAACCCAAATTGGAATATTAATTAAAAAAAAATTAGAGTGAAATGACCGGAAGGGAAAATTCACAACCCTCCCTCCGCAGCGTTTTGCTGGGGGGGGACGGACTACCCGTTGGGGCGGTTGGATATCAACGTAATGCGGGGGAAGCGCGCGTGGGGCCCCCCTCCTCCCCGGAATTATTCAATCCCCGCATTTGAATTTCCATTTCCATTTCATCTGGAGTTTCATTTCCCGCAAAAGGAAATGAAAGAGCCTTCCCCCCCCCCCCCCCCAACCTCTGAAGCTTTGTTGACTTCGACGAGCCCTCCCCCTTCCCCCCAGTGGATCGAAGAAGAAAAGTCGCACCTTCCTTCCTCCCTTCCTCCCTTTCCGCCCCGTCTTCTCTTCTTCTTCCTCTCTCTCTCTCTCTCTTTCTTTTCCTCCCCACGGGACTTACATAAAAACCTCGACTTTGCATCATTCCGATTCACCTCACTCCTCTCTTTACTTCCTCGCTCGAGGTCTCCCCCCCTTTGGAGCTTAAGCTCGAATCTGCTTCTGCCCCTCTCTCTCTCTCTCTCCTGCCCGGTTCCCTCATAAAGGTACTCCCTCCTCCCTCCCTCCCTCCCCCTTGATTCTTTGGTCTCTTCGAGTCGGTGATGGTGTGTTGACTTTGGCTCCGGGGCGTCTGTTATTGGGCGGATTCAGGGTGTGTGTGTGTTTTTTCTAGTTGATGGGTTAGCGAGGAAATTTGATGGGGGCTTTTTGTTTGTTTGTTTGTTTGCGGGTGTTTAAAGTTTGAATCTTGTTCTGTTGGGTTTTGCTTGTTGGGACTACTCGTTGTTCCTCCTCCTCCCCCGCGGGGGTTTCTTGGCCGTTCCTTCTCGTGTAAGGAACGTCGACGGGTTGTGTGGTGTCGTTGTTGGACTGGGTCTTTGTTTCGGATGAGATTGACTCTTCTTAAGGGAGTTTAATATTTGCTGCTCCGCTTCTGATATCGTCGACTTTTCCGTTTCTTGGTTGAGAAATTAAGGTGTCGCGAGGCATTTCTGCGGCATTCTTGGTCATATTTGGTTTGCCCTTTAGGTTTCGTTTCTTTGTTTGGGAGCGTACGAAATTAGAGTTAGCTCATCTTCCTATGTGGGTAAGTTACCGATGCCGTGCTTGCGTGTACTGATCTTGGTGAAGGATGATTTGGGGAGTTCATTAAATATCCTGTGGTCATAATTATGCAGGAGTCGATTATGTGCAACGGTTCTTCGAAGAGTAAACTTTTCCCCTCGAGTTTCGTCATGGAGGGCGAATTCTGCAAGAAGGATGGCGAAGCTCCCCGTAAATGCTCTGCCTTGCTCGAACTGGCGGCCTCGGACGATCTTTCCTTGTTCAAAAGTGAAGTGGAAGAGAAGGGCTGTGACGTTGATGAGGCCAGCTTTTGGTATGGTAGGAGAATCGGCTCGAAGAAGATGGGTTTTGAGGAGAGGACTCCATTGATGATCTCTGCTTTGTTTGGAAGCGCTAAGGTCTTGAAATATATAATCGAGACTGCTAGAGTTGATGTCAATAGGTCCTGTGGGTCCGACAAGGCGACTGCCCTCCACTGTGCAGCCGCGGGTGGCTCCAGTTCTTCACTCGAAATCGTGAAGCTCTTGATCGAGGCGTCAGCGGATATTAATTCCAGAGATGGCAATGGAAATAAGCCCATCGATGTGCTTCCCCCTCCCGTGAAGCCTCGCTGCAATTCCAGAAGTAAGTTTGTCAAGTCGTTGCTGAGAGGCGATAACTATGTCGTGGAAGGTGATCAATCCTTTGACATAGAAGGAGAAGAGAAGCTAGTCTCGCTTCCCTCCTTTGGAAGCGAGAAGAAAGAGTATCCCGTTGACGTCTCTCTGCCTGACATAAACAACGGGTTCTACAGTACCGATGATTTCCGGATGTATGCTTTCAAGGTGAAGCCTTGCTCAAGGGCTTACTCCCACGACTGGACCGAGTGCCCGTTCGTGCACCCTGGGGAGAACGCGAGGAGGAGGGACCCACGAAAGTACCCTTACAGCTGTGTCCCGTGTCCTGAGTTTCGCAAGGGTTCGTGCCCGAAGGGCGATTCTTGTGAGTATGCTCATGGAGTCTTCGAGTCGTGGCTTCACCCAGCGCAATACCGAACCCGGCTGTGCAAGGATGAAACTGGTTGCACTCGCAAAGTTTGCTTCTTTGCTCACAAGTCCGAAGAATTGCGTCCCGTGTATGCTTCCACGGGTTCTGCTATGCCCTCGCCCAAGTCCTTTTCGGCTAGTGCCCTAGACATGACTACCCTGAGCCCCTTATCTCTTAATTCACCATCTTTGCCTTTGCCTGCTACGTCGACACCACCCATGTCGCCTTTGGCTGCCTCATCCTCTCCCAAGGGCATGAACTTGTGGCAGAGCAAAATTAACCTGACCCCACCAAGCTTGCAGCTTCCTGGCAGCCGGCTGAAGTCGGCTCTGAGTGCGCGGGACTTCGATCTGGAGTTGGAATTGCTCGGGCTGGAAAAGCAAGCTTCTCAGCAGCACCAACTGATGGAAGAGATTTCTCGTCTCTCGTCACCCTCTCTGTGGAACAAGGAATTTTGCAGAACCCCAGAGCTGAGGCCCACTAACCTTGATGATGTGTTTGGATCTCTTGAGACTTCTCTTTTGTCTCCTTTGCATGGGCTGTCGATGAAAGCATCGACTCCTACCCAATTGCAGTCTCCCACGGGGCTTCAGATTTCGAATTTGAATCAACTCCGTGCGAGCTACCCGTCTAGCGGCATGTCGTCCTCTCCTGTGAGGAAGACCTCTTCGTTTGGGTTCGACTCATCCAGTGCGGTTGCTGCAGCAGTCATGAATTCACGGTCCGCTGCTATGACGAAGCGGAGCCAGAGTTTCATTGACCGTGGAGCGGTGGGTCAACGTTCTGGACTCATGGGAGCAGCTGCTAATTCTCCTCCTAGGATGTCCAATCTTTCGGACTGGGGCTCGCCCGATGGGAAGCTGGATTGGGGTATTCAAGGAGACGAGCTCAACAAGCTTAGGAAGTCCGCTTCCTTCGGCTTTAGAAACAACAGTATGGCAAACCCAAACAATGTGGCACCTCCCGGTGCTGATGAGCCGGATGTGTCGTGGGTCGGGTCACTGGTGAAGGATGCGGCTCCGCCCGAAGGGTATCCGCAGTATATGTACATAGAACAGGAGCAGATGGTGGCATAATTAAAGCAAAGAGCACCACACGAACTCTCTCCTGATGGCTTTAAGATGACTTGTTTGACATTCTTTATATTCTTACAAACAGCATGGTCTTAGGAGTAGCAGGTGGAAGGAGGAAACAGTTGAGTTTGAGATTCAAGCTCTTAGCTGGACAGGGGAAAATTTGGGGAAGAAAGAGAATTTGGTTTCTTGCCCAACTTAGATGATATGCTTTTGAAGGCTTAAAAGACGATGATGAAGGCAAAATTCTTTTGTTAGTATGTATTGTTTTAATTTTTTTCATATCCTCTGTTTGGGGTGGTGGGTGTTGATGTTTCTTTTCGTCAGGCAAAATATATGAAGTTACTCTCCTGTTTTCTGGTCTAAATTCTCATCAGAGCTGCGTAGTCGTTTCCATCGGACAAAAACGATGGCTCGCTTCTCGAAAGTATCTCTCTCTCTCTTCTCATTTCGCTCATTGACGAAGCTGGATTCTCTGCTGCTCCCTCTGTACGTACGTGTTGATTGATGACTCACCTGTACCAGTTGATCACCGTTATTGATCAATGCTCCCCGTGATATTGGACCTCAAGAGGCACGTACTTACTACGGTAATGAACACAACATCAACGTGCCATTATCATAATTTCGAGCACTCTACCATCGAACCATTCTCGGGTCGAGCAGTGTTCTATTCGGTGGATCGTGTGATACACAATTAAAGCCGATTCCGAGCTCTCGAGTGCATGATCGGAAACGGGATCCGGACCTTCGTTCAGAAACATCTCTCTGGTTCGGGAGACCTGTCTCGAGGGAGGGGGGGGGGTTTCGGGACGACGTCGCGTCGGGATCCGGTTCGAGACAGCCGATCGGAACCCGTCCCCCACTTTACCGTACCCAAGAACATCAAAAGAGCAAGGGAAGGAACAGTCCACGTCGCAATACGTGGGACGAGGTTAAAAGACAAGGAGGGCGCGCGCGAGGTACCCGATTCTTGGCAACTTTCCCGTAAGAGATCTTCCCGCTTCGGAATCTCCTTCGTTTTCCCTATTTTTCCCCCCCCGCACTCATCTTTTGTTCTTTTCTTTCTCGGAGTCATTAAATTAAATTCTGGACGGTCGGAAATTCAGGACCCGCGCGTGGGGCCCCCCCACCCCCCCGGGGCACGCGGGTGGGAAAATTTCTGATGGCGGACGATGATGATGTCGGGGCCCACCGGGGGAAATTTTAATTTTGGGGGAGGAGCCGCCCATGCGTTGAATTTTCAAAACGGGGGCGGGGGAGGTGACTGTCCGTTTGACCGATTCCTCCTCTCCAACTTTTTGAAAGTTTTTTTTGTTTTTTTTTTGGGTTTTCTTTTCGGGGGGGCCCTTTTTATCTCTTTTGAGGATGTACGAACCAGTAAGGGATGCACAGGTGCAAACCGAAGTGGAATCTTAGCCGGCACCGTCATCATCATTCATCTGTCCAAAAGCTAAAATGGACCCAAAACCCCCCCCAAAAAAAAACATATAAAAAAATTGGGTCCACGTCGGGGCGCTGATCGTGCCACGTGACGTTACCGGCATCCACGTCAGTAAATTTCGATTAAAATTAATCGGATGAATTCGATTGTTAAAATATAAAAAAATTTTAAGATCCAATTGAATAAAATCGAAAAGTTGAGGACTGATTTAACGAAAATGTAATAGGATTAGGAACATTTCGGCAACTTTTCGAATAAATTAAAATATAAGAAGAAAAGGAAGAAAAGGGTGGACAGCAAAGAGATCTCTCCTTCTCCTTCTCTCTAGAGAGATCTGGAACGTGGATCTGGGCTTCGGCCCATTGGGCTTTGGGGCAACCTTTCTTTTTGTCAAAATATTTTAAATAAATAATTGATAATGAGATACGTGGAGGAAAGAGAGAGAGAAAGGACAGAATCCAGCAAAGACCCCTTAGAACGCAGATCTGGGCGGGCTTTTGGCCCGTCGGGCTCGATTAGGACATGCGACTGTTTTCTTTTGTTTGGTAGTTTTGGTCGACCATATGATTTCGGGTTAATACTATCAAAAATCTCAAATCGGTATGCTCGGGTTATATTTAACCCTGAATTAATTTTCGTTATCACAGAAAAGTCACGAATTGGTGTATTCATACCCGATTTACTCCGAATTTTAATTTTCGTGTCACAAAAAGTCCCGAACTAGTAAAACTCGCGCCATTGGTTCGGATCCAATTCGTGAGATGGGCTATCCGTGTCATGTAAATTGTCTTGACGCCTCCATTTTCTTGGCTAGTAGATAGAATCCCTCAGGCTGAGCAAGGAAGAAGACGGAAGAAGACGAACGGGAGACAGAGCGAGAGCACTTTTCACAAGGCAAGAAAGCAAGCCAGCGGTAGGTAAGAGGAGAATGGATCTCCGGATTAAAGGAAGCCCACATTTTCTCCAAAGTGGTAAAGTAGTGCTACATTTACTCTAAACTTTGAGATTTTTTGTGACATGAAAATCAGTTTGGGGTAAATACAGCATCGATGTATCAGTTTGAGATTTAATGTGATATAAAAATTAATTTGGAATAAATGTGGCACAAAATTACCACTTTAAAGTTGTTTTTTCAGTATCGACCGTGATTTTTTCGATAAGAAGCAATGTAAATTTTTAAAGAACTTGAATGGATGCGTCGTTCGAAGAGCATTTTTGTACAGGTATTGAGTAGAAATTTCGCTTAATAGAAGTAGAGATTCTGCTTAATGTGGTTTGGTATTAACTGACATCTAAAACATTATAATTAGATTATCACAAAATACTACACATTTGTGTTCATAATTACTAACGTTGGGACTTCTAGTTTTCGAGATGTTGATCATTTTACTTTATTTATAAGGAGAATTTTCCGTACTCTCTATACTCATCTTACTTCTAAATTGGTTTTTACCTATTTTAGTGTTGCTAATTGGCACTATAAATCTTTCTATCGATGATTTTTCTTAATTTCTCTTCACATTGTAATAGAGTTATTGATTGCATACGTGCATCCCCGCTCCTCCCCACGTCACACAGCCACAATCATAATTCCAACATAATCTAAACATGTCATGCTAACGTACCATAATTGTGGCAATCGCATTTTTAAAAATTCGAAAGTAATAAAAATTTGTCAATCCAATGAATATAATAAGAAAGAAAGAATGGACGATGATATAATTTTAAAAAGGGTTAATATCACGAAAAACCCTAAACTGGTACATTTGTGACACGTTTACCTCAAACTATTTTTTTGATCATAAAAAACCCCAAACTGGTACACCTGTGACAATTTTACCCCGAACTATTTTTTTGACCATAAAAAATCCCAAACTGGTACACCTGTGACAATTTTACCCCGAACTATTTTTTTGACCATAAAAAATCCCAAACTGGTACACCTGTGACAATTTTACCCCGAACTATTTTTTTGACCATAAAAAATCCAAAACTGGTACATCTGTGACAATTTTACCCTGAACTTACCACAAAAAACCCCAAACTGGTACATATGTGACAATTTTACCCTGAATTAAAATTTTAATATTATTTTTTTTTTTTTTCGAATTTTTATTTATTTATTTATTTCCTTTTATTTTTTTTTTCTTTATCTTCAACCTCTAGCCGGTCGCCGGACCGGCGACCGACCAAAGGCGGAAGCCGGCGAGGGCCGCCCTCGCCCGCCCAGGGCAAGGGCGATCCTCGCCCGACTCAGGCGAGGGCTGCCCTTGCCGGATCTGGCGAGGGCGACCCTCGCCTGCGTCGGGCGAGGGTTGCCCTCGCCGGCGTCGGGAGAGGGCTATCCTCGCTCGCCCAGGCAAGGGCGAGGGCTGCCCTCGCTGGCTTGGGGCAAGGCAGCCCTCGCCTGGGCGGGCGAGGACGGCCCTCGCCTGAGTCGAGCGAGGGTGACCCTCGCTGGCGTCGGGCGAGGACGGCCCTCGCTAGATTCGGCGAGGGTCGCCCTTGCCGAGTCGAGTGAGGGCGGCCCTCACCAGCGGCTGCCGAGGGCGGCCCTCGCCGGCTTCCGCCTCTGGACGGTCGCTGGACCGACCAGAGGTTGAAGTGAAGAAAAAAGAAAAGAAAAAATTCAAAAAATTCAAAAAAATAAAAAAAATAATATTAAAAATTAGTTGGGGTAAAATTGTCACATGTGTACCAGTTTGGGATTTTTTGTGGTATGTTCGGGGTAAAATTGTCACATGTGTACCAGTTTGGGGTTTTTTATGGTCAAAAAAACAGTTTGGGGTAAATGTATTACAAGTGTACCAGTTTAGGGTTTTTCGTGGTATTAACCCTTTTAAAAATAGACTGAAATACACTTTTCTTTGTTATTTAGTTTTTTCGATCGAGCGCGCTAGTTTATATAAGTACACCGGTTTTTGCCAGACTGATGACCCTATATAATTTATCATTTTAGTTATATACCATATTAATTGGCAAATCGTAATTATCCACGCATTAATTTTGCTCCCACCATATGAAGTATGCACCTTGATTATCTTACCCCACGCATTTTCATTTCCATGCGGGATCGACATAAAATCAGATTTTTTTTTTCTTTTCCATTAATATTTTATCGAACAAAGAATTTAATCAATAAACCTAATATAGAGAGTAGTTCCGGCGACATTCACGTGGAAAGAGCGGAGCAGAGCAGAGCACAGCATCATCGCTCTCGAACGTTGGAGCTCCGAACTATCAACTATGCTCGCAGGTCTCTCTCTCTCTCTCTCTCTCTCTGAGATCGCGCGCGCTCGCATTGCGATGGATTCATCGTGGTTCTGACGTTCTTGGCGTTCTTTTGCTCGTTAAAAGCACGAGTGCCGATGACATTCTTTGTGGCACATCAAGTGTTTGCTGAATTTCCCGAGAGGCGTTGCGTTGATCTCCACCACCCTTTTATCCTGCTCTCTAGTTTGGTTCTTGGTGTGAACGAATGTGTCGTTTGCTAGTTTTAGGGGGGAGAGCATCAACTCGAGTATAAGGAAACGGGTGTGATATTGTCATTGTGCTCTTCCATGAAGAAGCGTTTGTGCTTTCCAATTTTCATGCTTTTTTGGAAGAGGGGGGTTCAAAAAAAATATCCAGGAAACTTAGAAGGACTTCTACGATGCTTCTGTCTCTAGTGTATTATACCCTTTTTGATCAATGTAGGAGAGGAATGGTATTGTGATGTCAGTCCTCATCCTCCTGTAAATGCTTCATGCACAACTCAGAATACCCCCTCTGTTTCGTCTTGATTTAAATGAACTTCCCTTATGTTTGTCTGCGTGCTTATATGGCTATAGTTGTGAAAATTTTAAAAAGTTTGTTTGAGTATTCGACTGGCCCTCCTCATATGCATGGAAGTAATTATATCTTAAAAGAGATTATATTGGCAT